ATTGTGTGATGATTATTTAAATAATTATTTAAAGAGTTATTTCTGTGAATTAATTAGATAAATAAATGATTCTGTGTAAAATGACTTTCAGTGAATTAAAGTGAAATATTATTATCTATATTAGGTACTGAAAATAATCATTATTTTCAGGGGTTCATGTATGCAAGGTTAAGTGGTACTGTTCTTTGTTTTTTTAACTTTGGTTAGCCTGTTTGTAAGTTATTTCGCAAAATTACCAATAGTCATGCCGGGATTTTTTTGGAAAATAACCGATTTTGCCAAAAAAAAAAAGTAGTGACAACCCTTTCACCTGGTTACTGATCGTGTTAATCACAACATTGTCCAGTTTGTACACGCCATTACTCCAATTCATGTTGACAGATTCGGTATGAATGAATAAAGCATTACATTCCCGGCCTGTCCTAACGCTTTATATATATTGTTTAAGTCTAGCTATTAGATCTTTTACCTGTCTGGCCTTAGAACTTGTTTCATTCCTTGTAAGGAACCTTGTAAATGTAGCCGCCTGCGTTGCTGGGGGAGTTCTCAATTAACATTTGTTTTACGGTGCATGAATTACTAAATGTGACATTTACGTTCCAGTTTTTCAGTTGTAGAGGAATTTGGGAGAAATTTTTGTTAATTGGTAATACTAAGATATTCTTTTTGTCATGGGGAGGTGTTGGGTCAGTTTTATAAAAATATTTCTTCAAGATGTTAAGGCATTTGTCTATAAAAGACCTTGAGTATTTTAAGTTCAAACCAATATTATGTATACAGTCGACCCTCGTTAAAACGGACTAATAGTGGGGGAAGGGTGTCCGTTTTAGCCGATTGTCCGAATTAACCGATTTAGGGGTTAATATTGCATTATACAGCTATGTGTATGTTTATTTGAGTGATCCGTCATATGAGTCCGTTTTCTTACATCAGCACTCCTGAGTTGTCCGTTTTCTTTTAATCTTAGAGTGCATTAGAGACTGTTATATCTTAGTAGTGACACAGAATTTGATATTGCAACTGGGGTTGCAATTGTTGAGGCAACTTAGGTATGTCTGATTACAGTTGGATATTCAAGATCCATTGTGAGTGATGTTTAAAGCTTCAACTGTCTTTATGGTTGGTAAAACTTGTCAAGTCTGTCAGTCTGAATGGCATGTGTGAGGCCTTGTGTTTGTACAACCGCTAAATATATGAATATATAATGTTATGATAATTATCAGAAACACATAGGCATGACTAGGTTTATTACAAAGTGATGAAAAAGATACTGTACAATGGCTAGTCCACAAAACATGCAGCCATGTCTCTTTATTTGAGTGCCCCGTCATAAAAGTTCGTTTTCTCTCATTTCAGGACGCCTTAGACATCCGTTTTCTCTTAATCTTAGAGTGCAGTGCACCAGGGACTTCGTTATTTCTTAGTAGTGACACAGAATTTGAAATTGCAACCCCAATTGCAACTGGGACAATCCCAGAACCAGAAAGTTATGGTTGCATTCAAATTAAAAATAAATTTGAAAATAAAAAGTATTAAATGCAAAACGGAACTTACACAAGAGGAGAGTTTTGTGTATTCATTAATAATAACTGCGACTGTTTATGTGCGAAAGAAATCCCAACAAGAATAGGCCAAACCTAAAGACATTTCATAACTTATGAGACCTAATAAAAAGGGACATTAACTTCAATTTGAGAAAAAAGGACTGTTGTATGGGTTTAAACCGTAGGCATTTTCAGCAGACCCTAAAAAGAGATTAGAACCCTTTGAAATTTGGTTTTATGTTAAAAGTAAGCTACACTGACAGTAAATCAAATGCAGAAGTACTAAGATAGGCAAAAGCTCCAGGAGATATACTAGAAATTTATAGAATAGGGAAAATTAAATACCTTGGCCATATAATTAGGGATGAGGGATTAATGGTAGAAATATTTATGGGAAAAATTTAGTGTAGGAGGACCAGGGGAAGGCAGAGACTAGGGTGGATAAATGAAAAGAAAAAGTGGGCCACCAAAGAGATGAAAAATCTTGGAGAATTGGTAAGAACAGTACTCGTCAATCTTCAGACACTTTTGACTGGTTGATTGATCGTGTACACCACCACGAGGATGTATTGAGGTGATGATAGGTCCTTTGTTCTAAAGAGGCCATCATCATTCTAACTTAACCTATCGGCTATAAAAATATGATAATTCTTGATGATATCATTGCAGGTACAAAGCAAACCCAATGTTCCATTGCAAACAAATAATGCGTTCCACGTCATACAGAGGACAATATGAAGAAATTAAAGCTTGCAAATTCCCTCCAAGAGGAAGGTTAGGTTCACCCTGTGGTGGCCAGAGAAAAAAACTACTGACTTTCATTTCGTGCTTTGCAGTAAGCTAATGCCTGTCATTCTGCCCATTTCAAATGTTTTTGATGCATAACGAAATATCATTACCACTAAGTCCATCACATGGAATGTTAGGGGTGATGATAGGAGTATTGCACTGCACCAATAATGAAGTAACATTAAAAGATAAACAAAAGCCACAAGTGTCCCAGAACTTACCTTCATAACCTTTCCATCCTGCTGGAACTTTGATGGTACTTCCTTCTCCTTATTCGTCTGGCCAGTTGAAGTTTTAGTTTAGCAACAAAATTATTTGCTTATATACTACACAATATAACATTTCAGCATGAATTTTTTTATTAACCATGAAAACAAACTCAAACTAATAAACATAATACAGGTATCAACTTCAGGCAAAATTGAGAATAAGACTCATATTAAACACTATATTTTGTTGCGTTTTAATATTCTTTAATCAATAAAAATCAGAAACTTTTATACTAATATGATGCTCATCATTCTTTGATTACACGTCCATGAGAACACCACGTAAGGGGAAGAGTAAGTTGAAGGTCACTACACACTCTTCGATAAATGATGTAATTGCAATGTAATAAAACAAAATTAATTATTGTGTGATGTGATGTTGCTAAAAACATCGAAACCTCGAAAAGGGTAAATTAAAGAGGTCAGGAGGATATTACTGTCATTGAAATATTATTTCTTTGAAGAATATGTCACCAGGCTACTACTTATCCCGACACAGCCAGATGCAACTCTTATGCTTCACCTTCTGTAACTTGTGTACTTATATACTTATTACAGAGATAGGCTACCTTTAAATGGTAAATGTTAAGAAGAGAGACGCCACAGATAATTATTATGATTTTATATTATTATTCCATTCATTAATGTATATATTTATGTGTTAGAGTCAGTGAAATCAATCAACCTTATCAGGACCTAAGTTCAGCATAATCTGACCTAACCTTGACAAACACAGTGACACAAACTTGCAGCAAATGACTGCGAGTGAAGTACCTGAAATAAGCATCATATTTAGGAGCAGGTCACGTATAGATTTACATGTGAATATAAGGTATAACATTATGTACTAAAAAATGTACAATAAGAAGCACTGGAACTGTGAGTCAAGAGACAGCTGCTGCACTTTGTAATTGTGTATAAGAACTTAATATTTCATTCTTAGCACATTACAGAAAGCCTAGGCTTATGCTTTAAATAAAACTATAAATAAGCTTCATTATTTCCTTTTGACTGTATTAAAACTTTCGCTTAAAGATATTAAATACCTGCTGTATTAGTGAACGTATTGGTAATAATGAGATTAGTCAAAAATTAATCTTCAGTACATACTGTGGTGCAGAAGTTATGATGTGTGAACGCAATACATTACATTATACATTTCAAGGCCAAATGGCTACTATATATATTATTTTGGTACATGTAAAGGATAATGGTGTAATTTAACTTTGTGGTGTATTTTTCTAACTGATGTTCAGAATTTCACAATGAAATTATGAAGGGTTTGTTTTGAAATTTGGAAATGCTTTCTTGAGGTTCTGTAAAATTTAGAAAGAATCCACAGGATACTGAATTACACGAACACAAACCTATTGTATTTTCATCATCACTGAAAGTGAACAATGAACATATCATGATATCAATTAACCTTTCCACTAGAATCATTAGCGAGGCATCTAAAGAAAAAAGAAATAATGAGGATTGGGACAAAGGAACAAAGAAGTAGTCTGTAACTCTTTCTTGCAATTGTCTCTAATACTTTCATGGTGACCTTAATCAACGTCTATGGGAGCCTTATGCACTAACAGGTAATTGTATTCATGTGTTTTTTTCTAATTCATTCACCAGTCACTGACAAGGCTTTCTACTTGTTGCAAATTATAAAGATTCCCCTCATATAACGTCAGTTAGTGGCCAAACAATTGTCGTTGGGTGGGAAAGATGTCTTCTGACACCCTCACGTATGTTGTTCTACCACTACCAATCTGTGTTTGCAATAGTGGCCCGGTGCACCCTTAAGCAATAGTGGCCCGGTGCACCCTTAAGCAATAGTGGCCCGGTGCACCCTTAAGCAATAGTGGCCCGGTGCACCCTTAAGCAATAGTGGCCCGGTGCACCCTTAAGCAATAGTGGCCCGGTGCACCCTTAAGCAATAGTGGCCCGGTGCACCCTTAAGCAATAGTGGCCCGGTGCACCCTTAAGCAATAGTGGCCCGGTGCACCCTAAAGCAATAGTGGCTCGGTGCACCCTTAAGCAATAGTGGCCCGGTGCCAAGCAATAGTGGCCCAGTGCCCCTTAAGCAATAGTGGCCCGGTGCACCCCTTAACAAATGGGTGCACCTTGCGGTGCCCAGTGCACCCCTTAAGCAATAGTGGCCAGTCACCCTTAAGCAATAGTGTGGTGCACCCTTAAGCAATAGTGGCCCGGTGCACCCCTTAGTTAATAGTGTGGCCAGTGCACCCTTAAGCAATAGTGGCCAGCGTACCTTAAGCAATAGTGGCCCAGTGCCCAAGCAATAGTGGCCCGGTGCACCCTTAAGCAGTAGTGGCCTGGTGCACCCTTAAGCAATAGTGGCCCGGTGCACCCTTAAGCAATAGTGGCCCGGTGCACCCTTAAGCAGTAGTGGCCTGGTGCACCCTTAAGCAATAGTGGCCCGGTGCACCCTTAAGCAATAGTGGCCTGGTGCACCCTTAAGCAATAGTGGCCCGGTGCACCCTTAAGCAATAGTGGCCCGGTGCACCCTTAAGCAATAGTGGCCCGGTGCACCCTTAAGCAATAGTGGCCCGGTGCACCCTTAAGCAATAGTTGCCCGGTGCAGAACAAAGCACTACATACATTTTTAGAAGATTTTTTTTCTTTTTCATCTTCCTTGTCTTTCTCCATTTGTCGCTGTCTCTCCCTGATCATGACCAGGCAGTAGTGGCGCTGGTAGAAGTCGTAGATGACAGACAGGCCCACGTTACTGCCGAACGTGTTACTGGGTGGCTGGTCCGTCTGTAGCGCCAGATCCTGCCAAAATGGTAACACCTTTAAATAGGTGGTGGTTGTACGGTTACACAGATTAAAGTCAGATTGTTACATGGAATACTATACAGAACGGTCTCCAAACACTTCACACATGCTGCGTATCAGTTTAAGGAAACCAAATTTTGATGGGTATTTGGTGAAATCGCTATGGTTGAATTTTGTCAGTGAACACCCGCCTTTGCGATTAATAATTACGATTGGAAATCACTAAGAAATTAAAAAAATTGTCTATATCCAACAAAATGTAACAAAAGGCAGGTAACTTGAAATTTACAAATCATAAAGGTTTCTTGACACCTTTCCTTACGTAATTGCAAAAATCACTTGCCACTAAAAGATGCAAGAGAACAATATATTTATCTCATCCAGTTATTAATAGACTTTGTTCATAATAACTTACAAACAGGTTAACAAATGTAAAAAAAGAACAGGACCACTTAACTGTGTATCGATCTAAACGAGCCATCCTAACCTAACCTAACCTAACCATAAGGTTTCGTTAGTTTAGGTTGTCTGTTTGTAAGTTATTTTGCAAAATTACCAATACCCACGCTGGTAATTTTGCTTTTCATTCATTGACCGGGTAAGTGAATGACACGTTTTCCGTTCCAGTCAGAAGGATGTCGTTCATTACCATCATGAAATTAGCTAAAAAATTTCCTAATTTATTACATCTAACATTTAAAATTTTCTCAATTTATCAATGTCACCTACCTGCTACTGTGAAAAAAACACATTAACTAACTCTTCTATTTTCCTTCTACTTAAAGAAAAAAATTACTTTGCTGAAACTGCATTATCTAAACAGTGAAAAAAAAGAAATTTATGTGGTGAAAGGAAACCAAAATATGAAATGAAAGAAAAATATCTTGATATTAATACGAAGACATGGGGCAATACATCTCATGCTTCAAGCAAGTCATTATTCATTTCAATTTTTAGACACGGGAAGGGATTATGAACTTTGCTTGAGTGATAATTAACGATTTTTTTTCAAATGAAAACTATAACACCATTAAATCTATTTTAGTAAAACAAAAATAAAAAATCGAGTTAACATTCTTACAGTGCTTCTGTTCTACTACTACTGCCCAGAACAGAAGACCTTCATGTTAATGATAAGTAATGGTACTTTGTCGACACTCTTCACATAATTACCCAAGACTTTCGAATTATTATGTAAACCAACACTCACGGCAGTAAAAGAACTCGTGCTGACTGGTAGGTGCAGTCAACGTCCAGTTCTGAAGGTTTACTTGTGGTATAAATTATATTTTACTCTTTTTTGTTGAAACACATTTTGAATTATATTTTCTTGTATATCTACGCACTTAACATAACTTGAAGGAATCATTTTTATAAGCATATTTGAAAATTAGTTATATTGCTAATCATGGGCAGTTGGAACTGTAGCCGAACAAACCCTCATCTGATTATAATGTCACGTGCAATCTTCCAACAGATCTGCGTCACCCATCAGTCGCCTGTATTAACTCATTCTGCCCTCTCCTTGTGTATTTTTCCTTCTAATTTCTGCCTTTCCATGTAAGCAAATACTGCCCCCATTTCTTTCTTGCTCTCCATCATTATCATCCTTCCCACCGGCACCTAATCTGTAATTTACCTTACCTTTCTAGGGATGCGAAGGGTCTGAGAAACTCGCTCGCTGAAGTTGAACGGGTTTGGCTGTGTGTCTAACTTGGCCAGTTGCTCTGCTGACATGATATTACCGTAGATTTCCTCCAAGTCCTGGCCTACGTCCTGCAGGTGCTGTTGATGTTCTTGTTGGTACTGTTCCTGATGCTGTTGCTGATAGTGATTTTTCTGTGTAGTAAACTGCGTACTATCTTCTGGGAGTAGGAAGGTGGAGAGATAAGAGAATAATAAGTGAGCTGCTATAGTGGCATGCAAGATAAGAAAGTTGACATCAATACAGTGGGATATGGCAAAGGAGAAGAAGGAAACTCGTGTTAGAATCCGGGTCATCGTTCATACGGCGAGTTTTCTCAAAGTTTTTAATTGTTGACAGTATATTGTAATTAAGATCATAAGAATGGAGGAAACTGCAGCGGGCCGACTGGCTCATAGTGGGCAGTCCCGTTTACACCCAACCCTTATCGTTCATATGTTTGAAGCTCTCCAGCGTATTCGAGTTAATGATGATGTTTGGTAACTTATTCCAATATCACTATATAATTATCATCACTATCATCATCATCAATAGATTTTTAGTCATTTGCATGTAAACAATAAAATATTATATATCAACAATAATAGACTGATGGACGAATCCCTAATTTTCTCCACAAACTGGAAACACAAGGCGTGCTAAATGGACTGATGATGAGTTAGCTGGACTCGGTAAAAAAACTACTACGACCATATAGTTGGCACTGTTAATGAGTTAATCCCTTATAGAGGTTCACGCTTGCTTAAAAAACTCGAATGAACAGGCTTTGTGTGAAATAAAAGAAAGTCTAGAATTGCTTTGGTTGTCCTTGTGGCGCGGTGGTATCGATCCCTCTTCACACGCAGAGGTCCAGTGTTTGTATATTGAAGTCCGCGTGCTATATAAGAACATAAGAATGGAGGACTCTGCAGCGGGCCTATTGGCCTATACTGGGCAGTCCCATTTACACCCAACCCCTATCGCTCACATATCCACCCAATCTATGTTTCAAGCTATCCAGCGTATTCGAGTTAATAATGATGTTTAGTAACTTGTTCCATTCATCCACTACTCTATTCCCAAACCAATGATTACCTATTTCGCGCCTAAATCTAAATTTGACTTAATAAAAACCGACCTGACCTAGCTCAGTACCGCCCTGACTTAGCTTAATACCGACCTGACCTAGCTTGGAGAAGGACGTGCCCCTAAGTGCTCGTGTTAGTGACCATAGGAAATGGCCGCCTTGGATCATTGTGTTGTGGGGGAAGAGGGACGGTGTGTGAGGGAAGACGACCCCCTGGCCACTCTGTTAAGTCAGCTGGAACAGTTGAGGAGAGAGAAAGACCTGCGAAGGAGGACCAAGGATGGAGAGTGGTTATCTCCAAGGGGACTAGGGTCAGACTCGGGAAAGCTGACCAGGGTGTGGAGTGCAGTAGCCCCTACCAAGTGTTGGAGGAAGCTGGCGGGGAAGAGAAGAGGCAGGACAGTGTGGTGCATGGAGAGAAAAAGCTGTTGATCAAACCCTGCCCAGTGATAAGGTCGTGGTAGTTGGGGACAGCCAGGTGAGGTTCCTAGATAGGACTTTTTGTGTGTTTTCCTGGGTCTGAAATAGGGCATATAGGATCTTGTCAGGGGAGGGTACCAAGCCAGTAGTGTGTCTTAGTGTAGGAGTTAACGACATAGGAAAGGTTAGGAGTGAGGAACGCTTCAAGAGGTATAGGGAGGCGCTGGGGAAGGTTAGAGATAGTGGAGGTATCCCGATAGTATGTGGTGTCTTGCCTAAAAGAGGAGTTGGCGGTGAATGGCTGTCCAGTTTAAAGACTTCGACATCTTTTGAACTGCCCTCTCGAGAGAGCCAGACAACATTACCACCCCATCCCTAGATAAATATACTGCATCCCCAACATAAAGGTCGTTTCTGCTGTAAAAGTTGTCCCAATTGTCAATGAATGGGACTGATATTGACTTGCAATATCTGTCAAGACGGCCGTTGACACCATCTGCCCTTGACATCCATTCACTGCCGACTCTCGTTCTAGGCAGGACACCACATATGATAGGGATCCCTCCCTTAATCCTAATATGTTCGATATTTGCCTTGAACATATCAATGAGCTCCTCACTCCTACACCGGCCAATATCATTGTCACCTGTATTAAGACAGATAATGGGTTTATTCTCATTACCAGACATGATTCTGTCCATCCTGTCTAAAAAATCATCATATTTCTGTCTTTCTTACAAAAGGCTCGATCTAGGTGCCTTACCTGAGAATCACCAACAATTAGGTTTTTTACCTTCCTCGTCAGCCTTGACCTTAACTATCTTACTGTCGATTTCGTCCTCCAAAGGACTGAAAGAGCTAGTACACTTAAGCTGCTTTATTGGCCTTCCTCACGACCAGTCTTGTCGCCCCTCTCCTCACAAACTTCCACTGGTCGGTATTGTCGGTGGACACAAATTCTCCTCATCTCACATCTTCCTCCTTCAGCCTCGCAATTTCTTCCTTGAGTCACATATTTTCGCCCCTTGGCCACACAATTTCACCCCTTGCCTTCAGAGCATAGAGCTGTTCCCCGCTTGCACTAGACATTGTAACACTGCTTGGTAATCCCGGAGGTAATTTGTCTTAACCCTTTCACACTTGAGGTCAGATGATTCAAGCTCTAATCAAGATAAAAGCTGATTTTACATTTATATATACAGTACACATTTTATATCAAAATATGTAATATACACAAGTAAATCAATGCAAACAATAATCACCCTCGAGTACCGGGTACCCGACTCCCATTCGTGATGGTCCGGTGTCGATACCTGGCAGCAGACGTGATTTTTGTTTACATACACATATTTTACATAAACCTTAATCAACACAAAAATAAATTCTGATACAGATCAATATATATGAATAGTTAGTTACCTTTAACCTGAGAAGTTTGTTGAACAATTGCCTGCAGCTCCAGATCCTCTTTTTGTATGACTCGGGAGGGTAAAGTCAGCAGGTGGATAAGAAAATCTCCAGCTTGTAACGACTGGTACTGGCGGCTCTTGAAGTCATAACTAACCTCCGAGTTTGATTTAGCACTGGTGCTGATCAGCCTGACTTCTATTTCGGGTTCCAGTTCCTGTTGTGTGGGAGAGAAAGTTGGTGTAGGTCAGTGTCACCTGCAACTGTTCAATGCCACCCTCTGCTAAAAGAGGGCCATTAGAGAGTAAACCATCTGTTGCTGGCAGAAGGTCTGTGCATACCAGCGTAACCTGCTGTTGACTGTGTTGTCATAGTTAACAACACCTGCTCCTGTCAAAGGATTAGTGGCCGTCAGAAGTCTCTCAGGACTATTGTATTTGTAATTGGGGAACGTCTACCTGTGGATGTCGTCTGTCATCAGCAGGGGCAAACTTCGACCTGCCTACTATACCTTGGTTAGCCTCGAACATTCCCCGATTTTCCCCATCTTCTGCACCAAAGTCTGACAATAGGCTTGGAAACTCCAAGTTCTCTTGAGTCTAGATGCCATGTCAGCATTAAAAGGACTGGACTATCTCATGTCGAACTATTTTAAACCTTTTTTTTTTAATTATCTATTGTGGCCAATTTGAATGTTTTATATTGGTTACAATTCTTCCTTATAATAATTTATTTTGAATATTACCTCTGCACTACTGAGCATATGGTTAATAAGAATTGTGATGTTAAAAGGCCTGGCACTTAATAAAATACAAATGCTACTTATATGACGAACAATGATACATGTATAAGTAACGTGTTGCTGGAACACAAGTTAGACCTACTCAATCTATGTATATCCATTTTTTCAATATGATTGTGCATTATAAATGTATATTTCAACGACTAGATACAAACACTATGTATATTAACAATATTCTTCTATAACAAGCATGCAGATATACTGTGTATGTCTAAGAACATAACTCTTTCGGGTCTGTGTACACTTTCTGCATCCTACAATACAAAACAGACGCCTTAGAATTTGTTGGTCCTATTTTAAGATAACCCAAACTAATTACATAAGCGTAGCATCGTGTGCTAAATACTTGGTCTTAAATTTTTTAACTGAAGTCAATCATTATTGTACTTATGTGGTTTCTTGGTGCTAATATGCAGAGAACCACCTTTAGTTCAGTAGGAGAGGCCAAAATTTTGTTCGAACCTAGAAAACAAATCCCAAAGAAATGATTTTGGCGTCATCTGGTGCAGAAATATGTCCTGAATCACATATTTAAAATCCCCATCAATTTCCTTTGGGGAATTTTTTTTACAAGGATTTAAAATAAGGAACTTCCATGGCTATGTTTTTCATTTTCGGTCAAGTGAATTAGGGGCGATTAAGGGAAAACCCATTTGATAATGCTTTTTAATCACGTTGATAACCACTGCAGTTTCTATATGAGTCATTGAAATTCTAAATAAAATATGCAAAGTCATCATTGGCGGGGAGACAACACACTATGGACTGGTTTCAGATGCACAATCCATTTGATAATGGAATTCCTGAACTTCGATCTCTGTCTAGTGGCATGACAGCTAGCGAAGGCGATGTTATCAACTGTGATGAAACTGAGAGGGTGGGCCTCGAGATACAGAGCATTATGGACAATCAATCTGTGAGTGATGCAACCATCAAGAGAAGTCAGATGGTGTGTACACTAAATGACTTGAAACCTGGAATAAAGTAGACAAGCAGGTGGGTCAAATCGACCCACTGAATTAGCACAAAGAGAGTATTTGTCTGGTTGGCACAACTGGCTTAGTTGACTTGGCCATGATGGACAAGCTATCCCGTTACCTCAACAGATGGAGATATTCTCGACTTCATCTTACAACAAACTGAACTTACAGCTGCATGCACGCGACAATGCCACGAGTGATGTCAAGAACACAGCATTGGTTCTCAGTGCCATGCTCACAAACGGTGAAGCCCTTCCAACACTCCTCTTTGAGAAGCCTGGAGTCCATACTGCTGACCTGACAGAACTCTGTAAGTGGTTGGAAGAGGCAGAGGCTCACATTATACCTGCGTGTCGTAATGGTATCAATAGACCCTAATAGTGTCGTTTTGCTTTTTCCTTTATAACCAAGGGAGTTAAGGGTCCAGTTTCGGGTGGGTGAAAGCGGCGGCTTACACCTTTACACACCCTGTCTGAGAAATAAGGTGTCGCACTCTGCCAAGTGCTTGTTAAAGCACATGCTACAACAAGTGATGATTCCCTTAGTAAATTAGGTATGAAGCATGGTGACATGGTAGGCAACCCTCTGGCTTATTTAGTCAACCTTGATTCCCCGTCCCCAGAGCCCAAGCCACAATATTCAGATGGTGAAACTTCTTCCTGTTCAAGTTTGGTCAGGCTTAAGGTCCAACCCGACAGTCTCGACATGTGAAATGAGTGTCATTCTCTAAGTTCCATTATCAGAGTGCTTGATGAGCTGCCTCCTATGCCAAGTGTGATCCGAGGGCATTTCATAAGGTTATACTATGTGATACATAGTACGGTCTCCCTTTTTGTCAATCACAGTGGGAACATGTTGGATCTAACTAATTTTGGATGGTGTAACGAGGAAAGTTTACGGAATCTCTTTACTACCTGAAACTTTTACCCGCACAACTTCTGTCAACACGTGAATGCGGTGGTAAGTGTGACTCCAAGTGCTGTGGTTGCAAGTCTGATGGCGTTTATTGTCTGATTTTTTCCCCAAAAGAAAGTAATCATTGCCAGAACAATTGAACTACTAGTTCATAACCCCACAATCTCATATTGTATCTTTGACTTGCGTGGTAGGATGAAGTCTGGGTGAAGCGGACACTAGAATTTGTACACATTAAATACTGTGTTCCTAAACATGTACTACAGTAGGTGATATCTGACACGTCTAAATTTTCACCTGGTATGTGGTACCTTCACTATTCTTATATTGAGACAATAGTTTTGGGCAAGAAACCCAATTGCTATTTGTTTATGCTCACTCATTTCATAACCTTTGTATTTCTTAAAGGTTTTTTAAATGCCATGACTACGTTACAGGTACAGCCATTGCTATGATCTCGTGATTGTATGAAGATGGTTGTATTCAATGTATTTTCATTATATTCACCCTCAAAAAGAATATAGTAATTATTACTTAACTTGTTTACTCGCATCATTTCTACAACTTCTAGTTTCCAAGTTATGTAAGACCATTTTATTATTTTGAGTATTTTGGTGTACAGCGATGACAGCCATGTTAGATTTACGCCATAAGATTATGGCCGATCACAAAAGAGACATGTCCAACGTGTCTAGATCCAAAGTTATGGCTGCTTCAGGGTTTTTCAATGCCAAATCGCGGCCATCTTGAATTTAGCCCCCTAGCGGGTGGTTGTCCCCTATTTCATAAGTCTCCCTGTGTTATAATTGAATCTTAAGGGTCATATAACTCAACTTACGTGTCAGACCAGATATTAAATTTGAAGCATGAAATCATGTTACCTTATCAATTTGGCAGTCAGTGGGCATCATACTTTAACCTTACAAGTTATGCAGCTCAGGGTGTCGCTTTAATTACACTTTATGTCCACCAGGAAAATTTTTTTACCTAGACTTTCAGATGGTTGGCAAGGCAAGAATCACCTGATATTTTTTGTTCAGTACTTGGTGATAAATCTATCAAAATTTCTCAATTCCAGTATAACTTAGATAGGAAAGGATGTTGTGGTGCTCCTAACTTCCATCTATAAATTATTGAGACAAAACAAGAAAAGTCCAAAAACCTACAAAAGAAAAGATATAAAGTAGGCTGTAAGGAAATTCTCATGGGACAAAATAAACAGCATTACGTTTCCCACATTACTACACAATATGGGAAACAGGCCGGGACAAGTTCTAGGTTGTGTAGAAAACGAGAAGTCGGACTTACTTCTTCTGGGTCAGGTGTGTCCCGTTTTTTGAGTCGTGTGCGAGAAGACATGCTTGGCTGGCCGATGTCGATGTGAGTCGTCCGTTTATTACACTGATTAAGGAAACTGTTCACTTCAGGCAATAAGCTTCATAACTGGGCTTTGATACAATATGATTTAGTTCATTCACGTTAGTTGGCTTCACTTGCTACAGGCTGAGATCAATACTGTATGGCGTGCTTGGTGTGTGTTGCGGGGGCGCCGGAGACAATGATCACCCAGCTTAATTGTGTCTATCTTCTCCCTCCCAACTGCTGATGGGTACAAATGACTCTTTGTGCGCATGTGTTGCTCTGATGTTTTACTTCCAGCGTCTCTTCCTTTATGGGTAGCTAATTACACACGCCATGTCCTAGTATTTGTGTTTTGAAGACTGGAGAAGACTGACGTTGCATGATCATTGGCATTAGCAGCGCTTAACTCTGAAATGATTTATAAGACGGATTTTATTCAGTTGTACACACTGTAGATGGGAAATTGCCTCAATAACAATCTTAATAATTTCAATGTGTATTTACTAGTACTTAAAAATATATATATTAGGTGGACAAAAGCTCCTTCCCTCAGCCTTCCCTCTCTTTCCCCCTCTGGCCCCCATCCCCCGTCATACGCACGATACAGATCGCCATCTGCTGGGCGATTAAAACACTTCCCTCAGTTGCTTCGTTATTCGAACCTCAGGTGATTCAGTCACATTGTGGCTGGCTGAGGGAAGGAACGTTTGTCCACCATAGTACATACCCTCCAGTGTCTCTCAACCTTTTTCACTCCATTCCCCCCGTGAGGAACTCTCAACATCCTCGTGGCCCCCTTCAGTTCTCTCCCAAGCCCCTCACAAATAAGGATCAAAATAAACTGCTTTGGTTCTCTTCCTTTATTTTAATGTTTACAGTCATCAAACAGAATGCATATTTTGTTACAGTTCAATGGGATGGATGACATTGTTTCCTTTCAGTCAGTCTACTGATTCGAGATTGAGTCACTGATAAAGCACATCTCATGTCTGGGTCCACATGTAACAGGTTTCGGCTTTTATTCTTTATTTGAAGAAGGTGGAGAAGCCAGATTCACATAAATAAGTAGTAGAAATTGGCAAGAGGACTCGAAGTGCGATCTCACTAAATTTTGGATATGACTGATACATTGAGCACCAGAATACAGTCAGAGATTTTCTTCATGGAGGTCTCTGGCAGCAGAATTGTTCCTGAGATCAAAGAATTCGTCCTGAACATCGTCGGGAATGGCAGCAATATCAAGAAAAGATTCCTCACCAGTTTCCCTTCTTCCTCCTCGAATTCTGGGAAGTACCTTTTGAGCTCACTTTCCAATGATTTCAAGTGCTGAATTATTTCATTTTTGAGTGATGGGTCAAGTAGATGATCCTCTTCAATCTCGCCAAGAACAATTGAGATATTCTCATATATGGCAACATTTCCTGCATTGACTTTCCTTTGCCAGTTCTGGAGTTTGTCAAGAAATGCTCGAATACAATCCATGCGGTGAAACACATATCTTTCCTTGCCTTGTAGCTTGAGATTCAGCCTGTTAAGCTGCTCAAGTATGTCTGCCAGGTACGCTACACCTCGTTGAAGTGACTTAGTAGATCATCCTTCCCTTTCATTTCCAGGAACAACTTAAATTCTCCCCGAAGTTCGAACACTCGTGGAAAGCCATAGCACTTTGAAGTGAAAGAGGAGGGTTTCATGCTCTGAATCCATGCCTCTACAGAGGTTCTGGGAAGAACAGCGCGGAAAGAACATTGATGGTCGGTCAGTCATGTGAGATGGGCCTAAAACTGACTAACGTAGATGATGACTATGATGACTTAACACAGGTAATGACTTAAGCAGATGGTGACTCATCTAACCAAAATCAAGGTCACTTCTCTTAATAATATAATTTATCTCGGAATGATCATCAGTGATTCATAATAATTGGTTTTTTTTATGATTTTAACCTCTCCTTATGGCGAATATTTCTATAACTAATTATTCAAACGTTTATTCTATTCCTTCTTATAGTATATTAGATACTGTAAGTCTCACAACCACGACCATGATTAAAACAACCAGGACCATGATTATAACAACCACGACCATGATTATAACAACCACGACCATGATTATAACAACCACGACTATGATTATAACAAGCACGACCATTATAGAATGCATATCTATTCACTGGAGTCGATGCAGCGAAGAATGACGAAACTGATTCCGGGACTTAGAAACCTTCCATATCAGGATAGGTTAAAGAAGCTAAACTTGCATTCCCTAGAAAGACGAAGAGTGCGGGGAGATATGATAGAAGTATTTATGTGGGTGAAAGGAATCAATAAAGGGGATATAGACAGGACCGGATTGCACTGCTGCCTGGATCCCAGTGCATAAACGACCCTTTAATCTGTGCTACTCTTGTGTTGTGACTAGATACTCCCGGCAGTCATCTCTGCCTGTCCCCGTCGCCACTCGTCCGTCGCCATAGGACTTTTGGGGGTATAGAGGTTTTGATGGTGATGAGAGGTATGATGAACTGGATGATGGCTGCACGTAAGTTGATTTTTGTGGTGAGGCAGGAGCGCAGGCTGCAGCCACACATCTTGGCTCTCCCATTTCCTGATCCAATGGTACAAGTGTTGCAACGACTGGGGAGAGGGAGAGTTGCAATGGACTGCCGATAGCCCAGTTTATTGGGTTTCGCCTTAGTAGCCTGTCCATCAGGCATTGCCTTCATCCGCCAGTGTAGTCGTTGGGTTCCCATGGTGGTCACCTCTTCCGCCTATACCGCCGTTGCGTCTTGTTGGAGCTCTGTAAGCATGTCTGCCTGATGCAGGGCTCTACCGCAGAATTTTTGTTTGGGGTTTATTCCCGTAGCCTTATACCTACCAAGGATAATCCGCAAGGCAGTGAGGCAATGGTTGGTAGGCGCCAGAACGTGTCCACATGTCAGTGGGCCTATGCGGCATCCCTCTGGGGCCCACTGCTATCCAAGTTCCCCTGCTGGTCTAGTCTGGGCCCACGAGGCACCCAGTTACCGTGTGTTGCCACGAGGGGGCACAGCAGGAGTCTTGATGGTGAACAGGCTGTGTACCGGTAGGAGAAGACTAATGCAAGTTGCTTCCCTGTTCGCCACGAGGCAAGCCAGCGGCGGCAGCTGAGAGCGAGAGGGAGCAAGCAGTGCTTGCACCTTAACACTAACATAATGCTGCCACAGTAGACGCATTTCACCACCCTTTGTGCGAAAACACACACACACACACACACACACACACACACACACACACACACACACACACACACACACACACACACACACACACTGCTATATAATGGCTGTGGGGAAGTAACGCTGGCATAATGAAATAGTCTCATACATCACGTACTGCAATTATGTAATTGGATTAACGCAGCGCCAATTTGCTGATGGTCCAGAAGATTACCTTTTGACAGTTAGGACAATCTTGCACACGCAGCCTCGCTCACTCTTTCTATACTGCTTCGTCCATAGACTTAGGTTATTTATATACATGAGCTGTATCAGTGAGAAAGAAATTTAGGATTTGAACGATTATAAATACTGTATATGAGAAAGCGAAAGGGGAAGTTACTTTTAGAATGTGTACAACACTGATATATATATATATATATATATATATATTTCATGTAAATCCACAATGAAAACGTGGATCAGATAAACCTCTGAAAGTTTTGTCAAATAGAGGAAATGGTGTTGGTATACCAGTTTTAAGATCTATGTACTTAAGTACATCTAGGAGTATCATTGATTAATTATTCAGCTCCAGTTGTAGCTTCTTACTCAGGATAGATCTTAGGCCATTAGAGTTTATTCAGAATGAAGCAATGAGGATTGTGCTTGGTTGTCCAAGGGCAACAAGAATAGACATTATGAGGACGGAGCTAACGAGCATAATACACAGAATTAGGGAGTTGACTGTCATTTCTACTCTAAGGGTTATTAGGCGTGGTGATGGTTGTCTGACGTCTGCTGTTGATAAAATTTACTAATGCAATTAATAGTAATTTTAAGATGAATACTTATACTAAAAACCTTTGTCAGATGTTGTGTAAATATAACACTGTAGATTTGTGTGAACCTTTTCCTAACAAAGTTTATTTGAAACCTTGGTTCATGGAGAGTGTATCTGTAAGAATGGATAAGCTAGGTTAAAAAAAAAAACTAACCCTTATGAGTTACGGCAAATATCCTTGAGAAAATATCTGAGTACCATAAGGAAATTGTTATTCATATGTACTGTGATGGTTCAGTTAATGGGAATCGGGCCGGATGTGGCATTGTTATTAGGGAATTTTTTTAATATGGTATTAGTGTTGAAGAAAGAATATCCAAGAGAATTGGGGATAAAAGTTCCAGCACCACAACTGAGCTTTATGCTGTATATGTGGGACTTAAGAATGTGAGGAAAAAGACAGTTTGGGGTTTGTTGACAGTCAAGGTGCTCTATTTGCTCTAAATTCTAAAGTGCCTCTTGATGGTGATTTAGTTTTAAAATGTAAGAAGTGTATTCAAGACATAAAATCACTTGGATATGATGTAAGTTTTATGTGGATTCCATCCCATTGTGGTGTTTAATGAACGAGGTTGCTGATGATTTGGCTAAGCAAGGGTGTGGCAAAGAAACTGTAGAATATGATTGTATTTTGGGTATTAAAAGAATAAAATCTGGAATGGTAAAAATCCGACAGCAATGGGAAATGGACAATATTCTGAAAATTTTGAATAACGGTAATAGTAGTTTGAAACATTATGTTCGAGTTCTGAATTCTACAAGTTGTACTTATGGTAAAGCTTCGGTTAAGTATGATACATTTGTGATGAGACTACGCTTTGGATACAGATATTATTGGCAATGTATTGAAGGAACTGATGACATTCCTTGTAAACTGTGTGGCTATGTAAAGTCTCATGCATTATATCATTACATTATGGAAGGTAACTGTCTTTCAGAATTTAGGGGTGACGGTAATATTACAGAGATGGTTTGTTATTTGATAAATGAAAAATTTGGTTAAGAATATAGTGAAAAAATCTGTAAGTTTAACATAAGATTGTAGATTTTATGCATATCTATTTGTTGTATACATATCTGATTTATGATTAGTAGAATGTTAAAGACTCTTGTTAAGACTAGTTTTGGGCGGGCTAGTTAGCATGCTAGCCAGCTCCTTTTGGTGTATTTGTCAATAAATGTTTTGAATTTGAATTTTGATTTGTATCCGTCCTGGAAATATGTGGACGTACTTTATCCAAGAGTGTGTTGTACATTTCAGGGGTCATGAATGTATGGTTGCCCGTCCTGCGTGTCCTCACACTGTGTTTCAGCAAAGATTTGGTTATAAGTACCACACGATTTGTTCCTTCCCCAGTTTTTCA